CAATTAGCTGTAATTCTGCATTTTGGGGACATTCACTGTCACAGTGGCATGATTGGATTCTTGAAATAATGACACGAGTGCTTTAATAAAAGTGAAAAGAAAAAAGGACGAATAAAGAGCTGAATATTTTACAAATGCTGTACTGCATAACTAAAAAGGCAAAGACATGCTGTGATGTCTATGGCTTATTCTGACAACTCAGAAACATTGTTTTTGCACATTTGGACAACAACTAACTGTAACAATCAACAATAAGAAATTCTACCTCGTGGTTACCACGCAGCAGTAATTTGTTCCATATTTTCCATATTACAAAACAAAAGTGTATTTGTCATATTTTAAAAAGAGGGTATTATCCTCTGGATATGTTTGAAATTCAAGTGGGAAAAGTTTTTACATACTCAAATAAGGAATATAATATAGTCACACAGTTGCTCTCTGTGCTACAGCTGCACTAAAAGCTAGCAAAGATAACTGAACTGAACTGAAGACTTTGACTGCGTACATCCAATTCCACACTGTAACATCATGTCCAATGTTTAAGAAAAGGAAGCAGCGGTCGTGCTCCTTTGGTCCAGGTCTGACATGTCGGTCATTGGGGTTTCACACTTGTCATCCGTGTTAACTATACTGTACTGACCATTCTCTGTATCTCTGGATGTTCGCTTTGTTCTGTCCTGGAGAACAGCATGGATCAATGCCACTGGGACGGGCATCATGGCAAATATGATCAATAGAGCCATAACAGCCAGAGCCCAGCCGGGGTACTTCAGGTACTCTTCAGAAGCCTGAAAAGAGGAGAATTTAAATGAGTCATTCAAGAACGTAAACAACCACACCTTAGAACTACTCTAGATCTCTAGATTAATGTGGTCTGAGAGAAATGCATCAATAATTTCCCTCAAGCAGTTGTGGAGTAGGTGTTTCTATCTGCGGTAGTTTTTTGAAGGTGCTAATAAACACAAGAGCTGTTTGCTTTACTCAAGATGCAACATGTCTTTTGGCTGTACCTCTTAAGGCTGTTAATGTTTTTGTTGAAACTGAAACAGACTCCACTGTATGAAACAAACGACATAAACAAAAATTTTGTGGCCACAGCCATCTCAAATAGCTGTTTCTCCAGGGCTAACGACATTTACCTTGTCTTGGTTCCATGCCATATAAGTGGGGCGTGTGATGAACATACGGATGGTGGTGGCTGCCAGCAGCCCCAGCATAGCAAGAAGGCAGATGTATTTCCACAGGTACTTGTAAATCACATGGGGACGCCAGCCCAGCATCCCTTCAATGTCATCAAGGAACCTTTATAAACAGACATAACAGAGTTTTTGACAAACACTGATAAGACTATCAGAGCTAAATGTTTTAGTTGACATTTGCATGGAATTTAAAGATTTCAAAAAGAGCTCACCTATCAGCTCCATATAACCAAGACACACTGAAGGTCTCAAAAACCACCACAATGATGAGGGGCAGAGTGGCAGAGTAATCATCGAACATCATCACAAAGTAATTGCCACAACGTTGGGTGAAGAGCAGGCCAATCAGAAAGCCAATGATGCAGCTGAAAACTGCAACAACATTAAAGGACACGTTAGGATAAAGCCACTTCTTTAAAAAGGGAGCATACGCAATCAAGTACTGTGGAGAGAAAATGATCTACAGAATATCCTGAAAAACTTTAGAAGGTAAATTTACTAATTCCCTCTCTGCTTCAAGGTGTCAGTGAAATCAGCTGATAAATTGTTGGGTCGGCAGGTTTAGTCTCAGCTCCATGATACGTAACAAGACACTGACCTACTGGCGCTAACTGTAACAGGGCCGTGAGGCAAGACTTTTCCATCAAATAGCACTTTAATGGTCAACATAGAACTGACACTGACATTTTGATTGTTGTTTGGAGCATTGCACAAAATGTTGTCCAGGCCATTTCCCTTTGATTAAAAACACAAATCTTAGTTGTTGAAATGTCACTTTGAATCAAGGCTGAGCAACAAAACAAAACAAAACAAATTCAGTTAATTAGAATCAGTCTTTGCTGGATGTGTGTAATAAATTGATTGCAGAATCATGATTTTATAGCATCAGTAGCTAGCTATCTTGAGTTGTGTCAGTAAGGTGATATTGAGGCTTGCATGAAGGTAAAAAATGTCTTTACTTGTGAGTTTGGTCTTGTTGTTGGCCAGAGTTTTGAAGCGGTCAGTGAGTGGGGCGAGGATACCCTCCATAGTGCCAAACATGGTGCTGAGTCCTAAGTTGAGCAGCATGAGGAAAAAGAGCGCTGACCAAAACGGGCTGCCAGGCAGGAGTGACATGGCCTCTGTGAAGGCAATAAAAGCAAGACCTGTGCCCTCCACACCCTGAACACAAACAACAGTGCCAGCTTTAGTTTAATGTACGGCACACCAAATACCCAAACATTCCACTAAAGCAAACTGACAAGCTTTACCTTCTGCATCTCTTTTTCCAGGTCACACTCTGTTAAATTGCCAGGGACATTATGTCCATGCTGTTTAAACCAGACAGTGTAGTCCTCGACAGACACAGAATGGGGATCAGAAAAATTGAAGTGTGGAATCAGGTTTGTGTCCACATCACCACTATGAAGATGATCTGAGAACTTCTCCATATTACTAACAAAAGAAAAAGACAGAAATAAAATGCAAGTATTAACATACAGTTGATGCAACAAGAAAAATCTCAGAGGCATGCAAAATAGTTTATGTGTTGCTTAGAGAAATACTCTTACTCTTCGGTTCCTGTCTTAGGCCAATAAAAAAAGTTTAAAAAACAGCGGCAGATATAGCCATGGAAATAGACAAAATGTCATTAGTATATACGTATGTCTTTAAGTCATAATGTACTGTGGGTCTTCTGATGCATAACTCAATGTTTATCCTCTAATCAAACATACCTGACTACACATTCCACAACTTTTCCTTTGGCACGGAAGCCGAGCACAGCAAACACCACTAGAGTGGCTAGCACAGATGTGAGGAAGTTTATAGCAGAGACAGTGAAGGCATCACGGTGGCAGTTGTTGTTTTTGGGATTGTAAGAGGAGTAGGCGATAATGGATCCGAAGCCAAGGCCTAAGGCGAAGAAGACCTGCGTTGCTGCCTGCCGCCACACCTGTATGTCTGCCCAAATTTCCAGCTACACATGTAGAGAGAAAACAACAGGTATGTCAGGGACAAATTCATATCTATGTGCTTTCTCTACACTCAAGCAGACATATTATCAGCAGATACCTTGGGGTAGAACATGTAGGAGATTCCCTCTAAGGCCCCATCCAGCATGAGTCCTCGAATGAGGAAGCAGAACAGCACCACATAAGGGAAGATGGAGGAGAAATACATCACCTAAGAAGTGAAAAAAAAGAATGATTACTTAAACAAGCTAGCAGTGAAAGTCAGTCACAGTTCTGCCTGTGTGAAGCGGCTTTGAAGGGGGAGGCGCAAGAAACAGCTCCTTGCGCTTCCCTGTTCAAAGCCGCTCAACTAAAATTTTATTGCGCTCCACTAAAAGCACTCACCGATCTCTCAAAAAAAAAGCAAAATAATCTGCGTGTTTAATCTGTATGATACAGGTGTATGTGTCATGCTGGGGACACATAGATCAGACACAGACATACACACAGGCAGCAGAAGATAAGCCCCTCCCTGCAGACAATGTTCCTTCTAACTTCATTGCTACAAAAGAAGCGACCCACTTATCACTGAACACAAAATTCATGGGTTATTATTAAAATAAGCTGTACGTGTGCTGAGAAAAGAGCAGAGGAGCAGAATCACTTGTTCACAAACGATCCTGGTGACACATACAGTGGTACCAGAAGTTACACATACTGGAGTGGGATTAAGCAGGAAATAAGGTGATGCTCTAACCTTTGAAAGGTCCGCTCACATGCTCTGGTGCATGAGCACTTTGGGTTAAAAAGGCACAACTCTCTTCCATTGGCTTCCCATCTTTTTGCAAACTATTGCAGATTTCTATTTTTCTTGTTATTAAGCTTAGCTTCAAAATACTATTTTCCTTAAATTGCTTAGTTCAATTCCATATTCTTAATTAAACTGTATTTAAGTTAGTTCCCTGCTGAATCCTACTAATTTTGCTGCTGTAACAACCCTTTTCCCCCCACAGAGATACTGGACGTTTCTTTTAATCTTCAGTGTAAAGCCTGCTGCGTCTTACACACTGAACATATGGCCACTGTAATCGAGATGCCAGGGGCTTAAGTCAGTAACCTGATGTCAGCCTGAGCGGGATAAACATCCCCTTAGATGTTAGCTTCAACATAAAACAGTAAATAATCATTTCAAAGCCTGATACAGTATGTTGGTAGGTTTGTCCAAAAAGATTTGCTGTTCATTATAATTACTTGTTGTGTGTTAGGGAAACCAAAAAACACATACACAAAAAAAAAAATGCAAATTTACAAAAAACATCCCAAAATATTTCAAAGCAGTAGGTAATTTTTTTAAATATTTTTTGTCATATTTGCTGAAACTTTCACTACATACTGACGGTGGTAAATGAGACATCATTTGTTAATTGATCAGGTTCCTCTGGCTTCTTCTAGTGCTCCTAATGACATTAGCAAAAATCCAACTGGCCTGAACAAAAACAACCAATCAGAGGCGAGAAAGACATTAAGACACTTTGGGGTGGATGCTTTAAGATAGTTGACTGTTGAGTCCCATTCCTTTTATTGCCTTTTAATTGATAGTGACAGCTGAAAGGTCACAGGAAAAGGGGGAGAGAGGGAAAGGGGGGATGACACGTAGCAGAGGGCCACAGGTCGAACTCCAACCCTGGGCCGGTGCAGCCCCAGACTCGGCCCCCAGTACATCTACGAGATCTGAGCTATCAGGGTGCACCCCAAAAAGTAATTTTGATAAAAGTTACCAACTGCAGCTTTAACACATAATGTGGATTTTGCCATTTGCTGTGTGTCAACACCTACGTCACACATTCCAGAGACTCACTCACGCACAGCAAGCCCTGAAATCACTGCCGCCCATTGTTATTTAATGCTCATTCTTCTCTCTTCTGAAATCCATCAGTCCAGTAGTTGTAGTATTTAAAGTTCCTGATTATCACAACTCTCCTGAAACATCAGTTAAGCTCTAACAAAACATGCCACTTTTTTTAACAGCAGAGTTTCCTTGATAGTAAAATCAACACTTTGAAAGCCAGGAGCCACAACAAATCAGTTACCTTGACAGAGCTCTTGATACCCTTGAACATTCCCAGGCACACAACGGTCCAGGCCGCCAGCAGACAGCAGACGATGTAAGTGTTGAAAGAGCCCGTCTCATCAATCGAGTCTGTGACATCCAAAGCTTTGCGGTACCAGAAATACGATGTGGGGGAGCTCTTTTCACATTCTTTTACTGGTTCAAAGAGAAAGATATGATCATCAATTACTAGTTTTATATGTGACACACCAACTATTACATTTACAATTTAATAACTGCTCATGTCTTGTCAGTTTTGAACCTTAATACTGTGTGTTTACCTGTTACATTCCCCTGTTTTGGACACTGTTCCCAAGGTAAAGGGTACTGGAATGAGTTCCCGAGATAGAAAAGACTCCATGCAAGGATCACATTGTAGTAGAGCGCCACGAAGAAACACACCTGAGGGCATTTGAGAGAAAGATTATCAGGTTAATAAGAAAATGAAACTATATTTTAAAGCAGACTTACACCTGGTATGCATGCAACATCAAATACCAAACAGTCTAACAGTGTTAGAAGATGGGTCAACCAATTAACAATCTTACCACACAGCTGGAGTAGCCAATTCCTGCAAGCCTGGGTGAGATGTACCTCCACACTCCGATGCTGCCTTGTCGGATGGCCTGACCGGCTGCCAGCTCCAGGAAGAATAAGGGAATGCCCACAACCAGCATCAGCAGCACATACAGTAAGAGAAAGGCTCCTGCGGAGGAGAGGTGACCAGCACAGTTAACAAATGAGCAACACAACTTGATACTCTGAAGGACAAGCAGAATATTGAACCATTCTCAAAATACGTATTATCCATCCTCCAGGGTTAATAAGATTAGTTTTAATATAAAATGTTTCATAAGACATCGTTATAATAAGAGTAAAAAACAACTTGTTGCAGTCAGAACCAACAACTGATTAAACTGTCTTGTTTGTATTGTTACATAGAGTTTATTGTGTATTGTTTCCCCTGGCAACAGACAGAAAACAAGATGTTGGAACATCAAACTTCAGAACAGCAGTGTTAGGTTTAGAGATCTATAAACAACATGTCAAATGGTGTAGTGCTCAGATTTAAAGGCATACATATGGTAGTTAATTCGTTTACATGCATGGTTAAGCCCAATATTAATAGTCTCTCTTTCATCACATGCTCATCCTGTGATGATGACGCTGACTCTCATTTGAGCAAATACTGTACATCCTGCACCCACAACATTTGTGTTCGGTCCTGAGGGCCCTAAACTTATGAAAACCATCTAACATGGATGACAATAAGTACTCACCGCCTCCATTTTGATGGCACAAATATGGAAACCTCCAGACGTTTCCGAGCCCAACGCTGAATCCAACCTGAGCCAAAAAATATTCTACTTTACTGTTCCATCCTGCTCGAGCGGCAGGCTCAGTCGAGCCCTGCTGGCTCGCCTCAGCGGCGTAGCCATTGAGCTCGGCGTCTGTGGTTTCTGTCTTGTCGTCGTCAGTTGGCAAAGGCTGCTTCTCCATCTAACAGAGTACAAAAGACAAAGAAAGAAACTAGTCAAAATGTGTGATGGTACGTAACCACTGCACTGGTGAAATGAGCCATTTGTGACCTTTACTTGTACTAAACCTACTATTCTCATCCAGCAAGCAATGATAGCATTTCACAGATTTACTCTAAAAAAGGTTGTAGGAAAAAAAAGGAAAACAAACAAATTATTTTGTTTACTTAGTCTAAAACTTAAGACACTTCCTGTAGGTTTTAATTTAATTTATTTCTGTGTCAACAAGCATGAGGAGTCATTGGTGCATATGGTTATTGAGACTGGGATGTCTACATGACTGTGTCAGTGTTTGTATGGGAATACCTATTCTCAACTTCTACACTCCTCCCATATTATAAAAAAAAACTACAACTAATGAAAACTAAACTTAAACGAGCAACCAAACTCTCAAACGAAACCAAACTGAAAACAAACATTAAAATATGAATGAAAAATACAAAACAATAACTGATGTACACTCAGTTGCCGATGTATTAGGTAGCTAAAACTGGTGCAGTCTGATAGAACAGCCATGAAATACATCATGAATGTATTCATACACGTTTTCATTGAAATTGATATATAAATAAAGGTGTAAATTCAAGTTCATGGTCATTTTGGAGGCTGTAGTGGTGGTGCTGCTGGTTGCCCACACTGTTTACACCAGCTGCTGTATCCGCACATAGAAACAGCGCGCTGTCCCACCAGGTGATAATTACACTAATTGTATTCGCCTTGCACCCCAGGTGTAGAATAATCCCTGATTAGGCTAGATAGGTCGAATGAACACATCCTTCACATTATTTACAGCACTTAAGTCCTTACACATTTTCAGATTATCTTCACTTTTAAAAAATACAAACAGTTGCGACCCATATTTTAAGTATATTGTGTCTTTGTGTGGACCGTGAACACACAGAAACACTTCTGATAAACCATACTGACCTGTCAGCGGCTAATGTCGTCAACGAAGATGTAAAAGAAACACTGCAGATGGCGAATGAGAATATCGACGATAATATTGGATTCTTAGGTCCTTTCAGAGCACGTGCGGCTGCGGTTTTACACTTTCATTGTTATCAACACAGCGCGAGCTCAGTTATTCTTCTGTTTCTACCTCTGAAATTAAATGTAACATATTAGATACTTTAATGCCGACGTGTAACTGTACAGAAACATATAAAAACAGATACATATACTGTAAATATGGTAATTCCGACAACGCTCGCGCCTTCTTGTGATTTATTGGTGAATCTGTAGGCTCGTCTCTTCCGCGTGGGAACCGGACCCCACCCAGTTACTCGTGGTGGATTCAAGGACTCTACAAAAGTCTGTAGACTACACCACTGTAGGGACACAATGTGCTACACCACTCATATCAGACAACTGCATCCTCTCGCGACTGATTGGTTGATTGTTCTTCTAATTAAACGGCTACAAAATTATATCATATTAATCAATAACCATCCATTTTTCCTGAGCCCAAGGTGGATTTCTTCAGTTTTGTTCTACTTGCAATTATAAACACAACAAAATATATTATATTTACAATGACAGAAAATAAAGAAAAGGAGCAAATGATTTACTTTTTTTTTATTAATGACTGAAGCCCATACTTAAAATTAATAATTAACTATTCATTGTCTGCCACTGTATCCATGGCCCACTGAAGCTCTAATAAAATATATTTTGAATATTGACGATGAATGAAATGACTCCGTTTGCAGTGGTGGGAGAATATTCAGGTAAAATACATCGAGGTGAAGCTAATTTAATCTACTTTATATACTGCTGGATAATTATATATCTACCAGAGGCTCTCATACACACACCAGAAGCCGTGAACGCAGCATAAGCCTAAGCACCGATCCTCTTAGGATTTTATTTTCCGACACGTGTAAAATGCACAGTTACACACAGTTTAAAAGTGAAAGTAAGGAGAGCAGCCGCCTTTTATTAGCTCTGTCCTAGCGGGGGCTGTCTGTTACTGGCAGGACATCCTTACATTTTAAAATGGACAAAGCTGATGGAATAAAAAGTTTCATTATTTGATCTCCTTTGATCCACGTTTCCTAGATTGTAAACATTAACCCTTGGTACATATTCACTTTCTCCATCTGAGACACTTTTTCTTTGTTACTCTCATGTCCTCTCTTTGTTTTAGTTCTTTATAGTTTATGGGGGGGAAAGAAGAACTTACAGGCTGATGCAATACTCTGCTCCTGTCATAATAAAACATGGTTTTCTAGGAGACTGGGGTCATGTCGTGTCCTTTGACCAGTGCCTGTAACAGCATTAATGTTCAGATTCTGCACAATTTCAACCTGCTCTTTTTCATTAGTGATCATTCCCACAGGATTCACTGATAAATGTCACTGGCACTGTCACTGGACCGCACATAACACACACACACATACGCTGTATGCCACGTATGCTTGTTTTGGAGACAAATAAAAAACACATGTCTAATATGTCACTACCAACTCAGTAAAAACAATAAAATCTACGCGCATGGAAACAACGACATGTATTTATTAAGTACTGATAAATACCTTGTGGTATCAAATAGCAGAGATCCTTGTAAAAGTATCCCAAATGTCCTCAAACTAAAAGTCAAGTGTGGATCTCGCTTGCAGCCACTTCACCTGACTCCGCCTATCTCCTCTATTGGCGGATAAAACTGTGACATGTCCACCTCCAGTTGAGGACTGTTATGAAATGTGACACCCCACTTTCCCATTTTTCCCCCAACCCCATGTATTTGTGGATGCCCCATACCCCACCCCCTAAAACCTAATGTGTATGTGAGGTTAAAGAGATTCCAAGTTGCTATGAAGGTGCTTACATCTGCCTGCAGACACAACGCAACTTTTGCAGTTGTTTATACTTCCCAACATTAAAGTTTAAATGCTGAAACTTTATGTTCACTGCTGGAGTAATATTGTTGTGAGTAAACGTTTAATATGTACTTTGTTT